GATTGATGATAATTGATAATAAATTTATATCATTTTTGTTATTATTATTACCTTATAATTTGATTGTTTTTATTTTTTAATATATAATATATATATATACCTATATATATCTTTATTGTATAATGTATATACAGGATGTCCCATTTTAATTTCTTCAGAATATCTCAGAAAAATACGCAAGTACAAAAAAATTTTTTAAACAAAAGTCATAAGATACGAAAAGAGACAAAGAATAATAAAATCAATTTTTCAAAAAATCGATTTTTCAAAGTCACATAAAGGTTATTCCACTTTTTTTAAATGATTTGATATAATTTTCTTTGTAAATAATATGATTCCTCTTTATTCTACATATAAAAGTGTTAAGGTAAAATTATCGAAAAATCAATATTTCACGAGATATTTAATACTTTATCATGCCATATTTTAACGTAGAATATAAAATATCTCATGAACTATTAATTCCCTGACAACTGTTCCTTAATACTTTTTTACATAGAATAATAAGATGAATATATTAGTGTAAAAAAAACACACAGTTGCTTTGCAAAACAGATATATGAAAATTGTATTTTTTTTTTAAACTGTGAGTTTTCTTTACATTAATCGATTATTTTATATCATTTTTATATAAATATGCGATTAATTAGTATGAATTATGTAATAATTTTGTAAGTATATTTATTGAATTACAAAATAAATGAAAAAGATAAATTTTCTGAACAAACTGTAGACTATATTTCCGTTTCAATTTTTATCATCAGTTGCAGCAATGAACTTCTCGGACATTTCTTGTGGTTGTTGTGTTACACGTAAACTTTGTGGCCCGATACTGCTCAACACGACTGGCAATAAGATTAATCCATTCCAGAGTCCAAACAAAATTACCATGATGAATATTCGGAAAAAGGAGATGAATACGAAGGATTTCGAGTAGGACGTCATCAAAATGCCGATAAAAGTTGTACTCGCACCATGTATAACTGCTGCGCCGATATGCCTGACAGCAATCAGTGCTCGAGTCCTGCGAGCATTGTCGTCATCCTCTCGCGACTCGGCATTGAGGAAAGCATGTGCGATGTGTGCGGCATAATCCACACTTAAACCGATGGCTAACTGAAGACCTGTAAAGAATTTATTTTCTTAATTTGAGCGAAATTGTCTGATTAATAAGTTCGCTATAACGACGAGACCGAAAGTCGTACACGACATACATAACATATAAAACACATGCGATA